AGGAGCGATCGAATACCCTTCGATAGTCTCCAGCTTGTCAAGGGGTAGGTCGCGATAGGCCTCCGCCATCAACTGGAAGGGTGACGGAAACCGTCTAAAGGCCACCGCCCGCAGACGTCGAAGCGGATGGGTCTTGGGAAGGCTTCGCAGCCGTACCCAGAATGTCGTTGATTTTCTGTCGTACCTCTCTTGCGCCGATTGTATGCTTGCCTCCGCTTCAGCGACCGCCGTGGCCACCGTGTTGAAGGTTCCCACGATCGCTTGGGCGCCAATCCTCTGCACTCGGTTGATCACCCTCATCTGCGCTGCTCGACACCTGTACCTCCAGACGTTCGACGCGTAGTCCATCGTCGGTGCTACGGCCGCCACGAAAAGCTGTCTGGCCGTCGCCGGAGACAGGCCTTTGAGCCGTTTGAGCCCAGCACGGCCTCCAGCCCTTTTGTCGTCGCGTCTGCGATGTGCTTTTCGAAACGGAGTTTCGTGTCCATCATCATCCAATACTTTGACGTGGTCCTTTGCTCGGACAGTGTCACCTTTGATGACGAAGCTGGTTGAGTCCGCCGGCAGCCTCCAGTTGCGCGTGAAGTGGATGATGGCCGTCTTGTCCGTCTCGAACGTCGCCCCGCTTCGTCGTTCCCAGCGAGTGCTCGATCGATAATATCTTGGATGCCCTGACGGTTTGCTTCGCGCGATCGGCCTGTGACCCACGCCGTGTAGTCATCGACGAAGGCCAGCGCGCCCCCGTTCTCGTCGATTTGGTGCTGTACGAGATCGGCGTTGAAGAAGAGGAAGAGCACGGGCGAAAGCGGCGAACCCTGAGGCAGTCCGGCTTGTGGTAGCGGACGAGCCTCGGACTCGTGACCGTTAACCAGGATGCTTGCCGTTCTATGGGAGCAGAAGGCGTCCACCCATCTCACCAGCTTGTCCGGGATCCCCGCGCTCTGAGTCTTTGAAGTAGTCTCTCTTTGTACACACCATTGTATGCTCCCTTGACATCGAAGCTGACCAGACTGACCACCTTTCTCTTTCTCCACGCTCTGTAGATGTACTCCTGCAGCAGTACCAGCGCCTGCTCTGCCGACCTCTGCTTGCGAGCGCCAAAGTGGCTCGTGGGAAGGAGGCCGAACGTCTCGACAGCGTGCGAGATACGTTCTGCCAGGACCGACTCCAGCACTTTTCCGAGCGTCGAGAGAAGCGAGATCGGTCGCCAGGCCTTCGCTATACCGTAGTCGCTTTTGTTTGGCTTCTTCAGCGGGATGATCTTTGCGTGTCGCCACTGCCTCGGCAACACCCCTTCATCCAGTGAGGTCTGGAAGAGTGTAAGCACCCTCTCCTTCACCACTGGCCACGTGTCTTCCACACTGCCACCGGCAGACCGTCCTCTCCGGGTGCTTTCCACGACTTTGCCGCAAAGAGCTGTCTCTCTACTTCTCCCAGTGTGAGGTTAGGGAAGGGTACCGGCGATCGTTGTGGCCGATCCCCCTCCTCCTCGATCATGCTGGGGAGAGGAGGGAAAAATGTGGAGAGCAGCTCTTCGGCCTGTTCTGCGGCGTCTCCCGTTTGGGAACCATCCGCCCTTTTAAGTTGAGGTATCTTGTCGAAAGATGCCCCTTTACTGGCGTCGAGATACTTCGCGGCCTTCCAGATATTGGCGTCGTCGGCCAGAAAGTCCTCCCAATGGCTCTTCTTCTGTTGTCGGATGGCATCGTGATATTGCTTGGCTGCCGAGCGTGCGCGTTGCTCCAGTTCAGGTTGACTGTTACCTGCCCTTCTCTCCGCTCTCGCCCGGTTTCTCCAGTGGGTATGGATCTGCCGGAGCTGGGTGAGGTCAGCCGTCCACCATCTCTTTGCATACGGTGATGGCTTGGCCGTAGGTGTCAGTGCCTCTACTGCCTCGCACACCACAGACATCAGTCGATCCGTCTGTTGCTGCACCGTACCTCCTGTTGGCATTCGCCCTAGGTTTGCTTCTACTCTCTCATTGATTTGCTTCCATGGGGCGTTCTTGAGGAGGAGCCGTGGCCGGCTTTCCATCTCAGGCGCGGCGATGTCGAAGGTCGTCTCGATCGCCCGGTGGTCCGACCCGTGGTCCGTCTCGTGCAGGCCGCATCGTACCACCGTTCTTGCTAGCTCTTCGGACGCGAGGGATAGGTCGATCGTCGTTGCCGCATCGTTCTTCTCCCACGTCTTCGTGCCACGCGGAAGGAGGCTGCGGAGCGAGTACTCGCTCATTAGATCGATGATCGGGTCCGCCTCGCCCTGCCGGCCCTCCGACACATCGTCACCTCCCCACAGGTAGTCGTGGCAGTTGAAGTCTCCTACCAGAACCACGTCCACCCTCTCCCCTGTTCCTCCTCGGACATTCGTGATAGCTTGTCTCAGCAGGTCGCACGCCTGCCGCAGCATCTCCGGCCTCTGCACCGGCACGTACACCGACGCCACTATCAGTCTTCGATCCGGAAGCCGGACGATGGCCGCAGTGATATCCGAGGACGCTATCGGCAGCTGCTCTGTCTCTACGTCTCTGTTCACCCAAAGCAAACTCCTGATTCCCCATCTTCCTTCGTCCCTCCACTCCGTTGGTACCATCCTCGTCCACCTGCTATTGCCCATCGGAACCGTAATGACCTTACCTTCTATCCTCCGCGCCCATGGCTCCTGCACCGCTATGGCCGTGAAGTCGCGCAACGCCTCATCATTCATCAGACTTTCGTGCACTGCAGCCTGTTTCCTCACGTTGAGCTGAAGGATCTGGACCTTCCTACTCATGGGAACGCGGATACAGCTTCGGACAGTTCTTGCTGAACGACTCGTGCGGTCCGCCACAGGGCACACATGTCACGATCGTCTCACGGCATTCAGAGTGGTGGTGGCCTACCTTGGCGCATCGTCCACACACCCGGGGGTTTACGCACTGGTACGCCTTGTGCTTCGTGATCTGCTGGCAGTTGTAGCACTGCTGGGGGCGCGGCCGCCGTTCAAACGCCATCGTCGTGCCGGACTCTCCTCCAACGTGGAAGAAGCCCTCGGAGATCAGTCTACGCGCATCACCGGCCTTGGTCACGAACACGACCATGGACCCATACGCCTTGGGTATCTCTTTCTTGCTAAGCCAAGAAATCTTGGCAACCGTGGTCTCGTTTTCTCGGCTAAGTGCCTCCGCCGCTTCAGCCCTGACATTGCCCTTCTCATCCAGTACCTCAATTCGCTTCACGTTGTCGATCTTCACGGGATAGAGTTCGTCTCGTAGCACGCGTGCTCCACGGCCGAAGCTCTTCTCCGCGATCTGCTTGACATACCTATGCTCCGCATCGTCGCGACAAATGATCCGGATCCTATCCGCGTTCCTTGGGTCTACCGTGACGGCCAGACACCGCCAGCTACCCTGTCCGTCCAACGCGCGCATCTCCTTTTCCACCGCAGCCCGGATCCGGCCTGGGTTGAGCTTGTCGCTGCCTTCTTCAACTCTTGATGTATCGATCGTACAGAAGGGGTCGCTGCGGCTCGGCAGCGTCGCGTTGCCCGCCGTGGCTACCCGCGAGTCGCGACCTTGCCCACCTAAGCCGCTTCGCGCGACGTCCGCGTAGGACACACTTGGGCTGTTCCGCGTCGCAGCAACTGTTGCGAGTGCTTCGAGGTTTTCGTTCGTCTTGGCGCTTTCGTCCTCCACGCGTTCTTTCATCGCTTGCAGCTCTCCTTTGACGGCCTGTAGCTCGCTCTTGACTGTTTGCAGCTCCGAAGTGACCACGCGAAGCTCTGCCTCAACGTTTTTATTCCGTGCTTCCGACTTCTTCCACGCATCGAACATGATCTTGACCGCTGTGTGTAGCTCTTTGACCTGCTTGCCCATCGTCAGGAGCAGCCCTTTGTCGTCATCCTCTATGGGTTTCGCGCGTTCCTTGGCCAGGGTTGTGGCTCGCTTGGTCGTCGTCCGCCGGCCACCACCAGCAACCTCCGTCGCTCCGTCGGTCGCATTGTCGATTATCTCTTGATGAGTCTGGTTCAGTTGGGCTTTCGCGGATGGCTTTCGCACCCTTCGTGATGGCAGGTCCTCGTCGCTCGCTGCCACCGCCTCCCTCGCAACGGTGATGGACGTCGAATCTGGCTCGAGATCCATCGCGTCGGGACGTGCGCAGAGACGCCACGCGGTAGATCGTGCTAGTGCCACGTAGCGCGTTTCGGAGCTTCTCGACAGCGCTCAACCCAACAACGTCGAATGATTCTTCACACAATCAAATATCGAAAATTCCCCAATCCTCTGATCAATACTACAGTAGAAGTCGAATTTGGTTTCCGTCTTTCTTTGTCGTTGCTGACTGTACAGCTGCAGCTGCACTATGACTAAGAACCTAGGTACCTTACACTGCAGTCTGCAGGTGCCAGGCAGCCTTTTGAGAAACCCCTGTCGACCACCCGAGAGCTTGAACTTTGAATCTTGAAGCATGGCCGGTAGCCGGAGCTAAACCCCATCAAGGAGGTCAATCGAACTTGGCCCCCGGGCTAGGCCGGCCGTCTCACTTTCGATCCTCCCCAATGGCCGCCAAGAGCCAGTCAGCAACCCGTCGTAAAGCCTGATGAGGCAATGGGGGCAATTGGGGGGCCCAGCGACCATCTCCAGGCAGCCGTCAATTTCCCTGCCGTCATCCTGCTCGCCCGTGCGGCTGTCGAGGTTCAGCGACGACTTTCGATGCAGGAACCAGGGTTTCTTGAGGTCGCCAATCGGTCCGGATTGGATGGATTGGACGAACACCTGCAGCTCGATGCCGTCAACCCTGCGGTTCTCTGGAAATAGACTTGGAAGACTCCCGCTACTTGGCGAAGCGATGCAGACAAAGTGAAGGAACAGGGGGCATTTTGGTGAGGAGAGCTACGAAATACACTAGAGCTATTCAGCCCTCACGATCGACATTTGCATTAGCGTCCAGGCCCCAAGAAAAGAGCTGGTGCTACGGCATCGGGTGCTGCGCCCCTGGGATAATCTCGTTTTCCTTCCTCCTCACTCCATTGGCGAATCCTGGGGTTTACCGTTGCGGCCCGCAAGACTCGGGGAAGGCATCAGAAGCTTGTTAAGACGGCCGGTCTTCCCACATCTCGATACACATTTCTACCTCTGCTCTGCATCCCTCTCATCGAAAGCCTGACAACCCAAACATTTGTCAACATGGTCCGTCTCAGTCTTTTGGCACTCGCTGCCACCACGCAGCTGGCCCACGCATGGCTGCCCAACGACGGCACCAGGAAGCTCTTGGATACCCGCGGCTTCAGCGTCTTTGACAACCAAAACACCACGTCTGACGACTCTGACGGCGTGAGCAAGCGTTGGTGGACGGCTTCCGGCAAGATCAGGGGCGTCAACCTGGGCTCCCTGTTCGTCTTTGAGCCCTGGATCGCCAATAACGAGTGGAACACCATGGGCTGTGGTGGCCAGCAGTCCGAGTTCGACTGCGTCATGAACACGGGCCAGGAGAGGTCTGATGCCGCGTTCCAGAAGCACTGGGATACGTGGATCACCGAGGGCGACTTGGATGAGATGATGTCCTACGGCATCAACACCATTCGTATTCCCGTGGGATACTGGTTGGATGAGTCGTTGGTTGACCAGAACTCTGAGCACTTCCCAAGGGTATGTCCACCTACGATCTCTGGTGTGACTATGACTGACCGAATGTAGGGAGCTGTCAAGTACTTGATCCGGCTCTGCGGCTGGGCTAGTGACCGCGGATTCTACATCATCCTGGAGTATGTTCATCAACCCCGTGAGACGCTTTCATAGACTAACAACATGAAGCCAGCACGGTGCCCCGGGAGCTCAAGTGGCGAAGAACTCGTTCACTGGTCAAGTAAGACATCCTGTTCCTAGACTTTTCGTCGTCCTCTAACTGTCTCTAGTTCGCCAACACCCCTGGCTTCTACAATGACTACCAGTACGGCCGGGCTGTCAAGTTTCTCGAGTTCCTCAGGAAGCTTGCCCACGACAACAACGAGCTTCGCAACGTCGGCACGATCGAACTCGTCAACGAGCCCACCAACTGGGACTCTTCCGTGCAGTCCCTCCGCAGCACGTTCTACAAGAACGGCTACAATGTCAGTCACCACTGTCGACACCTTGCACATCTCACTAACACCCTCAGGCCATCCGCAACGTCGAAAAAAGCCTCGGCGTCAGCGCCAACAACTACTTCCACATCCAGATGATGTCCTCGCTCTGGGGCTCTGGCAACCCGACCGAGTTCCTCGACGACACCTACTTCACCGCGTTTGACGACCACCGCTACCTCAAGTGGGCCAACAAGAACGACGTTCCCTGGACGCACGACAGCTACATCTCGACGTCATGCAACGACAACCGCAACGGCGACGCCTCAGGCCCGACGATTGTCGGCGAATGGAGCATCAGCCCGCCCGACGAGATTGAGAACTCGGACGACTGGAACCGCGACACGCAAAAGGACTTTTACAAGAAGTGGTTTGCGGCGCAGGTCCACGCCTACGAGAAGAACACCGCCGGGTGGGTGTTTTGGACGTGGAAGGCTCAGCTTGGAGATTACCGTTGGTCCTACAGAGGTGAGTTTCCTTTACAGCGATTGATGATGTCTATGCTAACGAGGATGTAGACGGTGTTATTGCCGGAGTCATTCCCAGGGACCTGAACTCGATTGCCAGCTCGGGCGTCTGCGGTTAGGAGTCATCTTTGACAATATAGACGAGGAACGGGAGATTTGACATGCATTCTCATTGTAGATATTTCCATACATACATAAGCATTTGAACGTGTAAATGGCCCTCCTGACCGACCTCGTATCGGAGTTCCACTGCATCTTGTCACAAAAGCAACGTAACCTGCGCGAACCCGCACAGCACACCCCATCATCGGCCCTTTCGGCATGCATGATTCCCTAACCAGGACGGCGGCGTTGGTGTCTCGTCCGCATCCAGTAAGGCCTCAACCCCCGCTAGTCTCCAGTCAGCAAACGGCCTCGAGATCAACCTTGCCGGCGTGCAGGATCAATGACAAAATGCCATCTACATGGGAGATCATGCAGTGGAAGTCCATATTCTCCGGGTTGAAGCATGTCGATCGTGTCACCTTGGATGCGGCCTTTTTCTCGTATCTTTTGACTTTCATCGTGACTATTTTCTCACCACCAAGTCACCCAAGTCAAAGAGTGAGCCAAGATGCCTAACCGGCCCGCCGGCACATCCGCGTCGGTTCCAACGTCATGTCTCACTTACACATGGGATTCAGCTCTGCTCTTACTAATCCCTTGCAGGACTCTTAGGACTTGGGACAAGTTTGTGATCAAAGACACCAAAGTCTGAAGCGGATTTCCGCAATGTCTCGCATCACCATGTTGAAAACACCCCGATATCACAAGGTTGCATCTGACATTTCAGCCTCGAAAAAGCCCAACCCGTACCACCGTCATCTATGACGTGCATGTGGCGTCGTTCCGTCCCGCCTTGGGGAGCGCCAATTTCTAACTCAATTCCCACGATGCAGGAAACGTGGGGTTCCTGTAAGGCTTCGCAAACATCTTGTTTCCTTGGAGCCCTGCTTTCCATAATTCCAGACCACGTGTGCTCCTCTTTTCTGTTCATCAACCTCAGATTGACCCACGGCCGGAAACTTGGAAATCTGAACCCGCGTAGAGTTTGCGTGGCTTGGTGTGGGGTATCCTGCACTGGCAAACTCAAGCGTCGGCATTGTCAGTATTGTGGACTGCTTGATATTGCTGTTTGATAATGTGATCAGTCACTGCCGGGCCGGAGGACACGGAGGGCTGAATGGAGTGACAGCACTGTTTAACACTATCGTTTTGCATTACTAGAGGATTGCTATAGTACATATAGACGTTACCCTACCCCCAAATTCCGTACTATTTAACCTTAACCCTTTTCCTACTTATCCTTTCCTCTATTTTACTTTCTCCCTCGTTAAGGGATCACTAAAATCGTAGTTTTAATAATTTATTAATAAACTAGTATTACTATTTAGAAATAGGTAACTTATATTTATTTATAAGTACTAAAAGTTTTATTATTATAAAGGTAATAATAAATATATTAAAATACTCGAGCGAGCTTTTTAATAGACTTTTAATACTATTTAAAATAATAATCTTCGAGCTATAAAAAGAAGCCGAGGCACTATATTAATATAACTTTATTTATTTTATTTATATTAATAATAGTCTTTTTAATATAAAATATATTAATAATATTTTACGGCCGCATTATTATATTTCGTAAATTATATTTAATAGTAGCGAGGATTTTAATATTAAATACTAGTTCTTTTATTAAAGTCGTTATTATAAGGTTAGTTTAGTTATTAATATTTTAATAAATATTTTATAATTTAATTTAAAGGCTTTTATACTTTTTAAAAAAAGGCTTTTAAAGGACTTATAATTAGATTTTATAGCTATTATAATTAAAGCTATTATAGTTAAAGCTATTATAGTTAAAGCTATTATAATTAAAACTATAGCGCTAGTTATAAACCTCGATAAAAAATAGTTAGTAATATAGTTATCTTTCTTTTATAATAAGCTTAAAAAAGTATATTAATTTAAGTACTAGGTAAGTACTATACTGTTTTATTAAAACTATATTCTTATATTTATAACTTATAAAGAATTTACTTTCTTTAATAACAAGGTACTTAGAATGGAGTGACAGAGCCAGTGCGACCCTGTGAACAAACACAAGGACGATTAGAATCAGACGAAGCAGCTGTTTCCCCAGATTTCTTGCTTCACCGAGGACAGGAGCATTCTCCCTTACTGGCTCGTTTGCGCTAGCTCCGTGCCCATCAACGGAGCCGAATTGTGGGCGGTGATCGACACCACGTTACCAGTGCTCCTCTGAGACTTCCTAGTTTGCTAGTTTGCGTCCATGTCACCCTGGAAAGTGACACCAACTTTGTGATGCGGCTAAGGACCTCGTGTATGTTTAGCGGGGTTCCGCCTTCCCCCGACCGCCTCTTTTTTTCTCCCCTCCCGCCAGATCCTTCCAACATGATCATCCATCAAGTGGAAAGAATGAGGGACAGCAGGGTCTCCTGCGGAAAGAAGGCTGGCTGAACCGGAAGCAGCAAGAGAGACGCCAGAGTTGACTCTCTCTTAATATAAACCACGCCACCCCGCTCTTCTTCAACCTCATCTCGTCCGTCCTTGGTTAGATCCCGCATCACCAAACGTCGTATCCGAACCTCAAGGTGTCCAACATCATTTCTCGCATCGTTCAAGGTACGTGAAGCCTCCGACATTTCAGCATATATACTGGGCTCATCTCATCTTCATCTTCATCTTCATCAGCATCAGCATCAGCAACTACCGCTTCTTCACCAACTAAACCATCATCATCATCATCACCTCTCCATCCATCAACATGAAGGCCGCCTACGCCATCGCCCTTCTGGGTGCCACTCTGGCTTCTGCCCAGTTCACCAACCAGACCAGGCCCTTCTGGCTCAAGTTCACTCCTTGCACCGGCGGCTCCGGCGAGACCTACCTTACCTCGTGCCACTCCGGTGCCGGCCAAGCTGGTCTCTGCCCCGAGACCACGGAGCCCGTCCAGGAAGCCAACCGTCCCACGACCCACACAAACTACTTCCTCAACGAGACGCAGTCCGACTACAACGGCCACCTCCTCGGCGCCCTGACCTGGAACCAGCCCATCGGCAACGGCGACCCTGTCTCCTCCGGCATGATGCTCAACCTGCAAATCGTTAGCAACGGCGCCATCCCCATCTTCTCCCCTGGCAACACCGCCCTCTTCACCCTCGGCTTTGACGAGAACGAGAAGCTCTTCATCTACTCCCGCGCGGACGACTCCAAGGCCGTTGCTGGCTCGCAAGCTCCCTATGGAGACGAGGCGTACTACCGCTGGCACGTCTGCTACACCTTTGTCGGCAACTACTACTACCGCTCCCTCGTCTGGATCACCGCCGGCCCGGCGTCCAACCCTACCTGCGAGGCTGTTGATGTGTACCGCGAGTGGGCTTAAGGCATGGATGGAGAGGGCTCACTGGTACCCAGCTTCGGCTGTGCGAAGAAGCTCGAGCTTCATGATCGGTCCTGCAGCAACTACACGATAGCAACTCTGGCATTGTCTCTGGTCTGAGTCCCGCCACGACTGACGATGGTAGTCTACCTCCTGATGGATGGAGTACAACAAAAGTTTCAATAGTTAATCCTAATAAACTCTACATCACATACACCGGATGGTGCTTCTGCCTCATTGTGAATATGTTGTCGGTTAATACTAACATCGTGCTTGTAAAGCCATGTTACTTCATTGGGCTGAGCAAGAGTATGGGGCACAATGCTGGTAACATACGTACCTGACTTTCGCCTGATGTGTGTTTGGTACCGTGTGATTTCCCTTGAATGCTTGATGCCATTCAGGACAACTTTCCCTAACGGCAAAGCTGGACAAACCTAATGATCTTGTTAGGATGAACACAATAGCACCAGCCTCTGTGACAAGGCCATCCATCTGATCTCCTCCAACGATCCCTGACAGGGTGGATGCATTTCAAGGATCTCATGCAAGGACAGCCCCTGTCGCATCGGCGATCTTCTTACCTGGCACTTGCACGGACTTTGGTTGCTCCGCAAATTCACCAACAAGAGGACTAGACGGGACCAAAGCAAATCCCGCTGGGATTGACCTTTAGTCACTTCAACGATTTGTTGTAGGTTTGGAGATTCATGGATTCATCAATTCAATATCCTCGTAGCTATTTACGCTATCCGCTCAAAGCTTTGAAGAAACAGGACACCAATAGACTCCGAACAACATAGGCAGACCGCTTGCTAAGTATGCAGCAAAACGTAGAATAACCGGCCAATGTGTGATAAAAGACGTCCATATGTGTGTAAAAGCCTTCACGTCGAGGTAAAAATGGACGCGAGAGCCCCTAGCATCGAGTTAGATTGACAATGTTTGTACAGACTGCGTGGTCATATGGTGAACGCTCATCCATGTGGCCTTGCATGCCAACAAGGGGTCCTCTTACTAGTAAGGCCCATAGAAAATAAGGTCTGCGGGGTAGTACTCCATGTTGAAGCCATTCAACATCATGTGGGTGACGTCGAAGGTCGGCGTCGTCGTGGTATCGGCCGTGTTATCCGTACCGACGCCATGTCCCACAGCGGGAACTGGGGGCTGAACTAGGACTACGCAACCACAGGTATCCTTATGGCGCTTGATGTTCGACTGATGATTGGAAAAAGATTTGCCGCAGGACATTTGAACAGCCCGGTTGTGATTGGCCTTGATGTGTCTCTTAAGGTTAGAGGGACTCGAGTAGGTTTTGTTGCAGCCGGACGCTTCGCAACGCGCCTTCGCTTCTGTCCCTATGGCAGGCATTGCGAAGTTGGTGAAGTAATTTGAATGCATTCAAAAGATGAGTTGTAGTGGTTATTGATGATGAATCAGGAGTAAGATAGGATAATAGCTCGGCGTGTCTCCTCCGCTCGTTAGGAAAATGCCTGTGGACCAACATCTTTGCACTTGCTATATATTCGCACAGATGAGGAGCGCGGGACCCTCTCGTCTTGAGAAGCTGACTTCAGCTGGGTGGGAAATTATGGCGGAGAGCAGCTTCACTATTACTGCGTATTCATCTTCCATGGTAGTGGTGTCGTGCGTCTTGTCGCTACTGGTCAAAAGATACTGGAAGGACCCCTGCGCCTGCTTCGCGGTTGGTCCATCCGATTGGTTATCCCAGAGGCTCTAGAAATCCTCACACGATGATTTACATTCGGGGCGCAATGGTTCTCTGGGCTCCACAATTCGCCTCCATAATCCAGAAATCCAGATATTTCACCGACCTCTCAAATATGTGACGATGCGCCGAGGCTTCTTTACTGCGTAGAAGACGTCGGACTACCACTGCACGACCCCAAGCGCCCCTCGGAGATAGGATCTCAGCGAAAGACGCAGTCCTCCACTTCACCTGGCCATATTGATTAGCTGCGCTGGGAAGTACAGTGGTCAATCTACAACGTAGCCGAAATCACTTAACTCCATGTATTGTGGCGGTCTTCATAGTCTTGCTAAAGGTAGACAGGACAGATGTCGGAATCTGACGTTAGGAGCCGATGACGAACTGGGAGCTCGACCCAGTCATGTCTCGCCGATGGATGCTAGGGTCCACTTAACTTACCAGGGCCTAAGCCGGTCTTAGACTCACCGTTGGATGGCGTCCCAGTTGCTTATTTGGTGGGGTTCACTAACACGTCAAGTCAACAATCGTCCATCCCTCATCTCTCTTCTGCAAAGTTCAATGTGAGCAAACATGAAGTGTGTTGCGTTCAATTTGATGTCAAAAACCTAGCACCGATGCGTGATCCGTGGACGCTGCAACCTGGCGAAAACCCACGAACTGCCGAAAACGGAGCTGCAGTAGGTGAAAGGAAATGCCTTAATTTAAATCGTACAACGCCCGGCAGGTTATCTAAATTCTGTACTTGGAGCAGGCCTCTACCAAAATAGACGGCGCCAGCCATTCATGTCGCTGGCTATCGCCAATTTCACTTACATGGACTGCGGGTGCTACTCCATCGTCGGCATCCTCTGCAGTCTGAACAAGACGGGAATTGGAGGGAGGGGGGGCACCAGAGTAGCACCGCACTGAGTGCATATTCTGAAAGCTATGGAAAATGAAGTGTTCATGTACGTACAACTTCGTGACATGAAGACTTCGGAAAAGAGGAGAACCACACCCAAGGAAGAAGCAAAAAGGAATCTCAAACGAGATAGACAGTCCACTTGCTCCACAGAGATACATGGGATGACCAGACAACATATATTATAAGACGCCGATGATCCTGTCAATGCTGTAGGCCAAGGGAGGTATGAGCGCGAGGGCTCCTAGTCTCGGGTTAGCTGGGTGCCGACGCTCGCCGCGCCAGAATGCGTTTCCATATGCTTGAGCCATGTGGTCTCGCATTCCGAGAAGAGTATTCTTACTACAAGAACCCGGGACAATAGAAATTGCTGTAGTCTCTCAGATCGATAGCAAGAGCGTCATCGAACTCGTCGACGGTGTCATCGAGGATCGGGATCCCAAAATCATCGAAGATGTTGTCGCGCGCGCCGAGGTTATCGTCGACGATGGGGGCTCCGACAATATCGAGGGCATTGCTGAGCTCGCCGAGCGTATTTTCGAGGGAAGAAGGCCCAACGACATCTACGAAGTCGTCTAGGATCGGGGCTCCGACGACATCGAGTGTGCCGTGAGCGTGACCGCTCTCGCTGAGTGTGTCATCGAGGATCGGGGATCCGAGGGCGCCGAGGGGAGGTAAACCCAGAGTTGCGCGGCATCCAGAGCATCCCAGCTGGTGGCGCCGGGAGTTCCATGGGTGATTTTGTCTGATCATGCCGCAAGGCATCTGCACGGGCTCGCCGTGCATCGACTGGATGTGTCTGGCGAGGTTGGACGCAGTCGAGTAAGTCCTGTTCTCGCACCCGATCTCCTCGCAACGGAAACTGGAAGGTGCTCTTGTCCACGCGTTAGACATCGCGAAGATTGCTGCTCTCTTATTGCTGAGCTCGGGAGACGAATTTGAGTTGGTATGAAACGGGGATCGGAAAGCTGAGTAGGAGAATGAAGTAGCGTGGCGAGCTATTCTTTTCGTCAGGAGGAAGCGGCTGGATAGCCATCTTTAAATATCTGCTTAGGAAAGAGACGTGAGGAGTTTGAGCCTCCATATCACTGGGAGTGGGAGGGCGTTGTTTCATTCTGCTGGTCACAATGTTGAGGTAAAGAGAGAGGAGTGTCTCCTAGCTGGCGATGGAGCCCGGAAGGTCAAATAGAAAACTTATGCGTGGAATTGATTGGCAGGGTGCATCGAGCTGCGCATACAAGCAAATGCCAGACGGGTGGAGAACGTTAGAAAGTCGACCGTCCGCATTGGAAGAAATAAGTTGGCACAAATGTGCTTGGGGCCGAGAGGCGTGTTAAATGTGGGGAGGTGGTGTAAGCCAGAAGAAGGAAAAAGTGGTCTTGCCGGGGGGTGGATGCCGAGGGTGTGTGAGGCAGGAACCGTTGAGCAATGGTCGCTCCGTCCAAAGAGAGGGGGGAAAAAGGGAAGAAGTGGGTTTGTACGTCGCCCCTTCTGGGAGGAGTGTATCCGTGGAGTGGTCCATCCGGAGGACGAGATTCACAGTACACAAACCCCGCCAAATTCATATTGTGTTTATTATCTTCACTCAATTAAATATCAGCTCTGGATCAAAACGGCCCATCTCCTGCAACACTGATTTTCACATTCCCTGCTACACACCCATGCCTTTTCAAGGAGGTCCCAAACCCAGGTCGCATCCAGCAGTAGCGGACAATCTGAGTGGGTACGGTTACCCACACGTTGCTCTCGAGTCTCAGCTCCAGCTGTATTCCTCACGACCTCGCCTTAAGCTCCAGTGGACTCCTGATCGGGTTGACGAAGGGCCTAATGTTGGTGACGGTAGTAAATTACGGGAACTTCTGGGGCCTTGGAGCCTTTGCAGCAGAGTTGTCGAGCCTTGCAAGCCAACACCTTCCACAAGGGTGCGTTGTCTCAAGGGTACCTCACGAGCTCTACTAGGTATCGCTATAGCTCACCTCGCTCAAGCAAACTCGCAGCCTAAAGTCATGAACAAAGAAACGTTTAGTCGATCAAGTGAAGAGAACACGAAAGGCCAATCTCTCAGATCGAGCTTCGGGTGTGGTTAATGCGGTCACCTACGGCGTTACTGGGCGTTACTATGTACATGCCTCGTGCATGCCTAGATCACACCAGCCACATCTAATGCACTCACCCTCGCTCCTCCTTTTGAAAAACCAATAAGGCAGATCGAGGCTCTACCTCAGCTCTAAGCTCAAGAATGGACTCACATCATGTCGCCTGCCTTGGCATCTCGGGTAAGAAGGTAGCTCATGGCTCGGGGCAAACGCCCAGCCAAGCATTGAAGTTAGCGGCGGTAAACGGTTGCAGCTAGCGCGTGACCCGGTACGAAGGTACGTGCCGGCAAGCATGGGTCTTGGGATGGAGAAGAGACAAGACAAGCAGGAGTGTGTAAGTTGTGAGTGGGTGATGGGGGAGGAAGGGTACGTACTATGCCGCACCACTACTTTCCTCTGCGTCTTCCCTACGACTCTCGCCGCCTCACCGGAACGTTGTTCAAGGGAAACCAGTGTCGGAATTGCTGTGGATGAGTTGGCACAATGCAGACATCTTATTCCCAGCTGACTAGGTAAATAGAGTACAGCGCGTTGAAGGACTTGTCCTTCCTTTGTCAGCCGTCCATGGAAATATAGCTACGAAAGAAGTCGACAACATCCGACAGAGCTATCCAATAGGGGGAAAAAAACGGCGCTTCATTGCCTTGAGACTCTTCTTCTTGCTGGACTGGCGGACAACAGTCAGTTTTCTCCAGGGCGCTATGCCCTGCTATCCCATCTCTAGTTTAGGTTCTCCACTGTATCCGTAGAAAAGGGTCTGCTGCACGGACGTAATTGCGTCACTGAGCAATGGTTCGCTGTGGCGGCTACCCTACCTTACATGCCATGGGTACCTCTCCAGCGCAGGCCCACCACACTACTAAGGTACTCTACCTTACCTCACTTACATGGGCTTCGGTCGGAAACTCATACACATTGGCTTAAGCCATCCTTACATTCTCATTTTCTTCGAATCGTAATGAGAGCTTGTAAATGTATTGAAAATGAATCTGATCACACGATATTTGCTCAAGCGCATGAGGATTATGGATATTCATAACCATAAGGCTACGGAATATATACATAAGTCTTGCTTCATGGTTACAAATGGAATGAGTGGTTCTCCCCCGTGACGTGAAACGGCCACAATCTCAGCACACAAGTCTCAATTCCCTCTTCCGTGATGATTTGCGCGCTGAATCATACTTTTTCTGCGTATTCAAGATAAGCAAAGATGCCAAATTCTGAAGTCCTAAAGATGATCCCCTGACTGGTGGGCTTCGAAATAAAGTCGTCCATGTTATAACCCATGTTTTTTAGGCCTCCCGGGTAAGTGTCGAGGGCAAGATCGAACCTCCTAATCTCAGTAGTATTTATAGATGACCCGAGATTGCTGCGCTCCTCAGATATCGAGGGTTGGACAAGAGCTGCACGACACTTTCGACAGGACATTTTATGACGTCGGGATTTGGATGCCTGGTCCTGTAGGCTCTCACTGCAAAGTATTTGAACCTGCTGACCGTGCTTGGATTTGTTGTGTCTATCGTAGTTGGAAAGAGTGGAGAAAGTCTTGAGTTTGCAGCCAGGCTCTTGCAAGAGAAGTTGGTGAGGGACCTAGTAAGTATGCCCTCGGTAGACATGATGATCGAGGCGTTTTGTTACCACGGGATTCGAAAGATGAGTTACAGAGCCTATTGATTTGGTTATGGAAAACGAAATGAGAACGAGCATTCATGAGTTTACAGCTCCTCGTTGGGGAAAGCCGATGATAGGAATGTCTTCTTATATTCGGATCTTCTCTATCGATGAAGATCCGAGCCTCTTTCTACCGTACTATCCCTTAGATAGAGCTTCTTGAACTATGACGCCGAGGCATGCCGGCGGGCAGCGACGGGGTCAGCGGCATCATTGCAGCATACCAATAAGACAACCAAGGTACTTGTTCACCTCCCAGAGCGCCTCGTTGACTGCTAAGGTATCTTGGTGTAGATTTGAAAAATCCATCGTCTTCTTGGGCGCTCAAATCAACAGCCATTTGAGTGCCATTCCGAGCCACAATGAAGTGTCATCGTGGTCCTCCAGTCCGGGCGCTGTCGGCCGTCCTACGAGGAGTTTTTGTCTCTTGACATGCCTAGCGACTGTGCCCATCCCGTGACACTAGGCTAATCGGAGCCGCGCAACCGTCTATCGTGCTGCCATGTTTCGATCGTGATATTTGTAGGACAGCTGGGAGGAGAAAGCTGCAAATTGAACAAGAAGTATCCTTCCATATGTAACCGGCTCGCCGGCTACAGAGTCTAATTCATGCTGATAGGGCCTTCACTTCTTTGCCAGCATACGGATTCCAGCCGTACCATCAAATGAGGGAATGCCTATGGCCCATGGAGTAGCCTTACAATGGGAAGCTTACTGCAGCTTTCGATTCGTGTCTACGGGTATCTCACCAGCCGGATATGCCAAACCATCTAGCTTCTGCGGGGTACACGTACGGAATACTCCACCCACATGAGCCACTTAATTCCTTAGGAGACCTTGATAGTGTAGCCAGACTTTGAGCCCACATTGTACAAACGCCACCAAAGCCCCGGCACACTTCACCGATGCTTCACCTCTACCTGACTAACACTGCTCTGTCTCAGCCAACCACAATGTTCGCGTCCGTCTCACTGTAGCCCTCGGATGTTCGACCATGCTGGGCAGTCACTTGAAACATCTTCACCAATACAAGAATCGGAACGTCCATATCGTTCTGAGGCCTTTTCGCATGGTATACGGTATCCCCTGTTGCGTAAGTGCCTTGTACGAGTTGCAAGGTATGTAGTGTATACACAGATGTAGAAATTCGTGTTCAAGCCTTCTCGCGTGCGATCGTTACAGAAGAATGGCTAGCTCTCCCCATGAAAGGCGCCAAGGAGATGTCGTAGCATTGGCCAAGCTGACGGCGGGAGGGGAGAGAAGCGGGACCATACGCAAGGATCCGTGCCGTCGGTAAGCTCAGTGCTGACGGCCTGACCCCACCATACATAGGTCTCAATATATCCAACGGCGCAGCGTCTCAAAGCGTCCTCCGACTAATAGCTACCTGCGACGTTGTCTTCTATGAGATTTAGCATGAATTTCATAGTTGCTGGTGGTCAATGCCCAGAGCGCTGGCACCGAATAAAATCAGTGTACTGCTCAAATGCCTCCAGATTACTCACGACGTATGCGATGTAGAACACCCTACTCCGTATCTCGCTGTTAATAACACCGTGTCGCCCACTACTCTCGCAAACACCAGTGCCTTCGTCGAAGCGCACCCAGTGTAAAGTCAGCTGAGCCATTGGGCAGCGCAATCATCGTCGCTACAAAACATTAGAAAAGTCTCAGATAAGGTGCCAGCTCTTTTTTACCAATTTCTTCGTTGAAGCCTGACTGATGAATTTCTATCAGAGGCTTATAACGAAGTGAGAGTTCATTCAGTTACATCTCATTGCCACCTCACTTACACGCGCCTGGGCCTTACTTGGTACGCAACGGAGGCCGGGGCCAACGGCATTGGGGTATGGCAGGGATCTCTATCTCCGTGCGAGCGCACCGACAATCTTACCCTGCTAAGGTAGGCACTCCTTCGGAATCACCTCCGGTCATTTAAAGTCCATCCCCCCCCCCTCCCCGGTGGGGTTCACTCACGGGCACATCAAGAAGAACCAAGCCTTTTTATTTCTTAAACTTTTAGCAAGTTGCAGGGACGTAATTTGTGTATTATCAAGGGCGACTAGCGTACGAACAAGCTTTGCTACGTATTGAAACTTGGGATTGCCAGCTCTGTCCCGGGGATAAGACGCTCGTAAATCAATTGCACGCCGTTCCTCGCCAAAAGAGAACGTTGACGCGATTGCTCCTCGATGTTGGGAGCTCCGTGTTGACGCTTGTTCTGGCGGCACACGAGCCAACAAGTCGGTCTTGCTAAGGGCGCTGTTCAGGCTGAAGGATTTCGAAAGTATAGTCATCCGTGAGAAACTTCATATCGCTGAACTCTCCTGGGTGGAATTCGAGGGTGAAATCGAAGTCCCTGGTCTCCGAGGCACCGGTGGTCGCGCTCGTAGGTGACCCAAAGCTGGTTTGCGCGGCGGGACTTGAAGGCTGATCCATAGCCGTGCAGGATTTTGCACACGACTTCTGGTGGCGCTTGATGTTCGACTTATGATTTGG